ATCCCAACAAAACGGTCTGGGTCTAAAAAGCCCGCATTTAACGGGATACCAATAAAAAGACCTAACCCTAACCTTAGCGGGCTTCGGGCTAAACGGGCTATGCGGGCTATAATAATAATTATTATAATAATAATAATAATAGACTATTACAATAATAATAATAATAGAATAATAATAATAATAATAATAATAATAGACTATAATAATAATAATAATAATAATAATAATAATAATAATAATAATAATAATAATAATAATAATAGTCTATTATTTAATAGTCTATTATTATTGGGATCTAGAAATATTTTGCGAATTGATGTGGCACCTATCAAAAGTGGGGTAATGGGTTGGGGTTTGCTAATCCGGTGTACGAGTTAGTTGTACACCTGGCGCATTACCCCAGGGGTGTCCTAAAGTTCCACTCCCTACTCAAACTGGGAGAGCAAGGAAGGAATAATAATAATAATAATAATAATAATAATAATAATAATAATAATAATAATAATAATAATAATAATAATAATAATAATAGTCTATTATTTAATAGTCTATTATTATTATTATTATTTTGATAATGTATCAAAAAATATAAAAAAACTACATATCATATATAAACACACTACAAACTCTTAAATAACATTTTTTTTCAAAAGAAAAAATATTCAAATTATTACTTACGATTACTCTTTTACTACTTATTTTGTATGCTTTGGAAATTTTACGGTATTATATCACTATAAATTATATCACTATGTTTCATGTGTTAGATCTTGTCTCATGTGTTTTCTATTAGTCGTTCTGATTGACTTAAATAATTTGGTGTGGAGTACAATAAGATATTGTTAATAATTATCTTACTTGCTGCAAACATTTACAACGTTCTACTCAAGTTAAACGGGCCAGCCCTAGCGGGTTTTCGGGCTAGCCCTAACGGGCTTCGGTTTAAACGGTTCGGGCCTAACAAGCCCTGATTTAAACGGGCTACTAATAAAAAGCCTTAACTCTATTTTTTTCCGGGTTAAACGGGCCGGCCCGTCGGGCCAAGGACCATTTAACATCTCTAAGTACAACACCTGAGTGTACTACACGAATGTTTGTTAAAAAAATATTTTTAAAATTTAAAATTAATAAGGAAAAGTGATTTTTAAAATTTAAATACTTCTTACAAAAAATATATTATTATTATTATTATTATTATTATTATTATTATTATTTTAGAATAATACTTGTTACTTGCGCGACTTACATGTGCTATATTATAATATTTTTTCTAGTTATACCATATAACTACTTTAAACATACATATATTAATTGATAAATAATTGAAATTTTTAATTAATATTAATAAATAATTTTATTATTACTATAAAGATAAATATAATTTATTGATTTTATACATAAAGATAAATATAATTTATTGATTTTATACATACCATATCGACATTAAATTGAAGCTCATCAAGGGTGATTAATTACATATATTATATGTGTAAAACTGTTGAGAAATACATAAGTTATTAATTTTAAAAATTTGTTTGCAATTCAATGGTTATAATATGTAAAAAATATTAAAATGCAACTAAGACATCTGAAATGACCGTAAATAATCAACATATTTATAGATAACCCAACCTAATTATTTTTGGATTGAAAGTAAATTAAAATCTATATAAGCCAAATAGTGAAATATGAAATTTCGCCATATTAGAATCCCAAGAATTTGAGTGTGCCACTTCGGCTCAGCACATTCGATAATTACATATAATAATAATATATCTCAAACAAATATATATAAGGTTCATCCATTCATAAAATTAACGTGAATGTCAAATGGAAAGTGAAAACTCTCTCGTGATAACCTAATCCCTAAATCGTTGGCGCCTCTCTTCAACTTCAATGTCAGTTTGGCTTCATCGGCGACGACGGGGCTCTGACCAGTGGTCGTCCTTGCCTGCTCGGCCCATCCCTGACGTTGCGCGCCTCCAGTGATCTTGCGATTGGTATACTGCCGAGGTTCACCATGGACGGCTTTGTCTTTTCAGGCGGTGTCTTGCGGGCTCTGGTCGCCGTCTTCCCGATCCGCGGTGGCGTCAGGCTAGGTGTGGGTCTGTGGGTGGGGCGTGGCTCTGGCGGCTGTGACGTCCTGCGTCGAGGTGGTCAGAGTTGAGGGACCGAGCCGCTCTTTCCTCCTCGGTTCTCTGGTGCTGGGGACGGAGGGGGTCCGGAGCTTCTGCGCTCGACTAGTGGTGTTAGGCGGGTTCGGGCAACACTGGTGGTTGGAGTTGGTTCGTGGTTTCTCCGGTTGCGGGCGGATCGATTTTGTTTTCAATTCGAGGTTTGAGTTCGACTTTTGTATAGTCGATTCGGCAGTTTTGGATGCGCTCCCTTGGGCTTTAGATCTTTCTTGGAGCCGATTGTTTCTCTGCTGGTTCGGCCCGATTGATCTGCTGTGGAAGATCTCTCTTATTAGTTAGTTTTGTTTTGTGTGGCTTTTGTTTTTGTTGCTTGGTTAGGATTCGTATTTTTGGTTTGGATCGTTTGACCTCTGTGAACCCGAGGGAGAGCGACTATTATCCTGTTGGGATCATTTTAGTCTCCTGTTTGGTAGTTTGTAGTTTTTTAGTTTTGTTGTTTTTGTGTTGTCGTGAGTTTGTTCTTCTAGCGTTGCTAGGTTTAGCTCTAGACGATCTTCGTATATGTCCTCCCAGTATTTTCATTCTTTGGTTGTACCTTTCAGCTTTTGGCTGTTTTCTCTTATCTGTCCTCCCAGTATTTTCAGCCTCTAGTTGTACATTTCAGCTTTTGGTTGTTTTCTCTTATCTGTCCTCCCAGTATTTCCAGCATCTGGTTGTACCTTTCAGCTGTTGGTTGTTTTCTCTTATCTGCCTTCCTAGTATTTTCAGCCTCTGGTTGTACCTTTCATCTTTTGGCTGTTTTCTCTTCGCACTCTGTGCGATTTTTGTTATATAATAGTATCTCTATCGTTCAGGAAATAAAAAAACATATATATATAAGAGGATATTGCATCTCAAACAAATATGATATTTTACGCTTTTCTGATTTAATCATTTTACTAGTACGTACCCCGTGAGATGCACGGGACAGAGATATTAAATGAGCTATTTTCACAGTCTTGTCTGTTTAATCCTAAAAAGTAATAGGGTTATTATCTATTTTCTACCTCTTTTAATCAACGTTAAGTCTAAAACACAATAGGGTTATAAGTTATTTTCCACATCAGACAGAGATATTAAATGAGTTATTTTCACAGCCTTGTCCGTTTAAGTCTAAAATGTAATAGGGTTATTATCTACTTTCTACCTCTTTTAATCAGCGTTAAGTCTAAAAAACAATATAGTTATAAGTTTTTTCCACATATTTTAACCAGCGTTGTTTTTTCAGCCAGAACATTAAATATGAGCATGTTAGGGCTCTTGTAAAGTAATTAATATATTATCTCACTAAAACATACTAATAACAAATTAATTTTAGCATATAAATTTATCCGTTGATATAAGAGAAAGTAACAATTGTATTATTCTTGTTCACCATATAATATTAAATTATTATTTTATTATATAATAAAAAAGAAATACTGTTAAATAGTGTAGTAGAATTGTTATAGAATTATATAAATTATTTTTTTTTTACAATATGGTTTATTATCTTTTTATGATTTGATAATATAACTATAATATATTCTTAATGATATAATAATATGAGATACGGATTTACATAATACTATGGATTTATTCCTTAATGTTATGATATTGAAATCAGGTAATATATGATTCACTAATTTGTAATTTGTCTCTTTTTTTATTGAAAATAATAATGTGATTGAGTAGAGATAACAATTATCTATAAATCCCTTCATTTAAGGAATAATTTTTAAATTGGACCCAGTGTTGAATGCAACCCGATTTTCTTATAACTAAAATGAGAATAGATTTTGAATTTCAGATTTTCACTTCAAAACTACACGTAAATTTGGATGCAGATTTTATTAAAAATGATTTCAACAAAACCCATAATTTTAGGGGCGTTTAATGCTATCCTATTTTATGATTTAAAAAATCTAAAAACTTTCTAAATATACCGTGAAATTAATTTTGAGTTGATTCTTCTTTCTACTAATTCTAATTCTAATAAATGAGATGTCTTTTTATGTAAGTATAGATTTGAAAAAAAAAAACGCAACTATTTAACTCCTAAAAATTGAATTGCCCGCCTTCAACTATTTAGTTGGCCTAGTGAAATTTTTCAGAAAAGCCAAACTCATCTCCTTCATTTCTATGGCCTCGAATATCAATCAGATCCTACAAGAATCAGCACAGCAGCACTCAATTTCATCCTCAAAACAGAACATTTATCAATTCCTTATATTCTCCGTAGCTCATTTCGTCATTGATCGGATGGGTGAAAGGCCGACGAACAGGCAAATAGGGCCTATCGATACGGCCCGGAACAATTATCTGGACAGGTTCGAGAGTATCAACCCGGCGTGGCCAGGTTGAGAGAACGAACGAACCGAAGTCAAGGTTATTTAATATGCTCAACCAATCCTCATTATAAAAGCGCCTTAACTTCAATAGAAATCTCTTGCAATTTTACACAAGGATCAGAAACAATTTCAGCAAGTTTCCAATTCAAAATTCAAAAGCAAAACTTGTTGGAATTGATCAAACTTTTGCAATTCAAAGTGTATCACGCAAGAATGAATCGAAAAAGTAAAAAAAAAAGACGTGAACGTGAAGATAGAGGCCAGGAAACGAAGCTCGTCGCCGGATGGTCAATTATATCGAGCCTAGAGTGCATCGATTTACACAACCATTTGTTGATTTTGTAAATATATTTACACAGAATAATATAACACTGATATTCAATCAACAGCCAACCCATAGTAACCTATCACACTGTTTTACTACAACAAAACAAATCCTCCCAAAAAACAGGACAAAGACTAAAAGGAGGAAACTCAATAGTATCCATCATATTTGTTAATGTACTCTCAGCTGAGGCATAACAAATTCCTTTTGGCATCTCATCAAATGCGGCCTAAGTTTATTCACATCTGATTGTCGAACCGGCTTTACGAAAAACTCTTGAGCCCCTTGTTCCAAACAAGTGTTGATTCTCGACGGGATATTTTCCGACGACATAATCACTACCGGAATGTCCTTCAGCATTTCCGATTCCTGTAAAAAGCAAAAAACCGAAATCTCTTCACATTCCTTCTTTATTAACATAAACGAAACCGGCAGATCAAAAAATGGTTCGACCGATAAGCTGCTGCTTACCTTTATTTTCCTGAGCAGATCGTAGCCGGTTAGAGCCGGCATGGAGTAATCCGTGATGATCAAATCCACTATCTGCAATTTATTATACTTTGATCATCAACTAAACACATTTCAAATTTACACAGAAAGATCCAATAGAATAAAAAGTAAATAAAAAGTATAAAATCATACATGATCATTACTCTTGGATTGAGAGACAGATTTTAAATCTGTGTCACCATTATCAAGCAATCCTAGAAATTCAAGAGCCTTAACTCCAGAATCCACAACAGTAACTGCAAATTTTACATCATACAACAAACATAATGAATAAGCAAAATACAATTAAAAAAAAAAAAAGGCAAAACTGCCCTTAACATCATGACATTTTTCGAAATTGCAATTTAATGACAGACTCTTTTCACTTTTGCAAATCATATCACAAACTTCGTTTTGTCGCAAAATTGGTGCACCAATTCACATATCCCGTGCTAACTATATCACAATCTTCTTTAGTGTGTTGTTCGACCACATCAGACTATTTTTCAGACTGCTTGCAACAAACTAAAGATTGTGGCATAATTTGCAAAAGTGAAAAGGTCATGATTATATATTGCAGTTTCGATAAAGGTCGTGAAATTGACATGAAAGAAAAACCTTGATAAGAAGAAGTCTTCAAGAGCCTCTCAATCCATTTTCTGTCAATGATGCTGTCATCAACAGCAAGGACATGAAACTGCATTTCCTGACCTAATCCACACATCTTCCAAATATTCAGATGATATTTTTTGAGCTATACAAAAATAGTTGAAGAAATATAATGCAACTTTGATGAGAGGAGTTAATTTTAGTTATATAGAGGTGTTTTTTTGAATGTGTGAAAGAGATCATATAAGATATTAACAGATTAGATAAATCCCAGAATAGAATCTTCAAGATTTTATTTGTTCATTGTGCTTTTCCATCATAGTTTTTTATTCAATTGTTATGTTTGGTTATGAAAATCCTAAAGATCTTGAGTGAAATAAAATAATTAGGACATCTTGGCTTGGGTTTTATATTTATTTTATTTTATTATATTTTATTTTATTTATTTTTTTAATACTAAGTGGAAATCCTAAAGAATCTTGAATGGAATAAAATATTAGGACATCCTGGCTCTTTGTCAAGCCTTGCCATTATTATATAGATATGCGTGTTGGCTCTTGATCTCACATTTTAATAGTTAAATTATATTTATTTCAGAATTTGATCCGCACATCATGACGCATGGAGCATAATTTGGACTTGACTTAGTTTAATTTTATTTTTAAATTTTTGCAGCTATGCGTGTTCTGTTATTTTGTATTTAGATAAATGGTGTATCATGGATGGACAAAAGATCATTTATCAGTGAGATGCGAAACATAAGGAAATCGGTTTACAAGCCATCGGAAATTGGATTATATATTTGCATAACTCGATTTTGCTTGAGTAGTTTAATCCACTGTTATGACCTATGTGTTTGATTTAATTTATCGCACGTTTTTAAAGCTTCAGACATATCAAGGAAGATGGTTGAATGTTTGTAATAATTATTTGCCCGGTAGGACAACAGATAGATTTAATTGCTTTCTTAGACGAACATGTAAACCCATTTGTGGGTCTAGGATTAAAATTGTATTTTTTAAATTTATTTATTTTGATCGTTATCATATACGGATCAACCGGGAAATCACAAAGACCAATGGATCTCGACGACCCAATCGACCCTGGGTCACCCGACATCGTGTTGCGGAAGCACGGGTAGACGCGGGCACCCAGCAGCATGCTGTCGAAAGAGCCTAAACGTCTGACCTGCTGCAGTCGAGGAAACACAATTTACGCAGGAGACCCGGCGGGGCCGGGTGGATGCGTCCTGGCAGCACGGGCGACGTGGTCACGCGAGTGCCGCACATGGTGCGAAAAAATCCCAGACGTGCGACGCCAAGTGCCCAGGTCGCGTCGGGGCAAGGCGCGACGGTTGTTGTGCGTGTGAGCATGCACGAGATGTCTGGAGACAACACGGTGGCTAGCCGCGTAATAGATGCGAGAAGCTAGCCACATGTGCGTGAGAGTCTCAGACCAACTCACTGCAGCACCCACGAGAGGACCGGGCTCGATTTTGATCCCCCAGCGAAAAGACGTTTTCCGGCTACTTCACTGCGGCTGCTTCCGGCTCCCAACCTCAACCCTTCCGAATGAGGTCTCTCTTATAGCTGAGCTCTTAGGTCTCCTGACCTCCGACCTACTTGGCGTGTGTTATCCTGGCCTCTCAGCCGCTTACGTGAGGCCCCTTAACATAGAGCTCTCATGAACTGTCCACGACCGAGCTAACCACTGGCCAGTTGACCGAGCTAATATTAGTGCTACATCATGTCTTACCAGCAGTATTACTATTTTGTAGGTAGTTTTTGTATAATAACGTAAAAATATTTTATTATTATATTGATGCCAATTTGACCAATAGGTTACAAATTCCAGATGCGAATTGGGAAGGCTCTTTCGGTGTTAGCCTATGGCGGCTGTGGCTCGGAAGGAATAATTTTATTTTCAATGGTACGACCCCCATGGTTGATGGCAGGATAAATGAAGTCTGGAGTTACGTGGATATTATCCAACAAGCAAGCTCTAGTCTCCGGAAATTAGGGCACAATGGTCACCAACGCCTTGACCAAATGATTAGTTGGGAGCCGCCCTTGGAGGGGTGGATGAAATGCAACTCCGATGGTGCCTTTAACACCTCTACAGGTATGGCGAGCGCCGGTGGACTCTAGCGCGACCATTTTGGTCGTTTTTATGGGGGTTTTATCATGAACATAGGCTTTTGCTCCATTATGGGTGTGGAGATTTGGGGGTTGTTGCAAGTTTTGACGTTAGCATGGGACTAGGGATATAGACGTGTTGTGGCCGATGTTGATAGCCAGGCTACGGTTGACCTGGTGAATGGCCAGGAAGAGATCGAGGGAATTCATGGTAGCCTCGCTCAGGCCGTGAAAGAGCTAAGGAACCGAGATTGGACGGTGGTTATTCGTCATGCGTATAGAGAATCGAATTTATCGGCGGATTACCTTGCTTCGTTGGCGGCTACTAGCCCTGGAGGTCTTCATCGCCTCGAGTTCCCGCCAGCTGGATTGAAACCGTGGTTAGAGCATGATCTTGTCGGGGTGGCATACCCGCGTAGGATAGCTGTCTAACTCTATCCCTCCCTCTCTTTGTACCAAAAAAAATAAAAAATAAACATTTTGTCTACGTACAGTCCACACCATATAGAAACAAAAAGTTTGACAATTTCTTAATTTGTTGCTATTGTCAAATTCCTCGTAAACTATGGCAATCCTGAAAGTCGAAATTGCGTATCACTTTTTGATGATTCTTGGTTTTATGTATATTTTTTCGTGTATAGTTACAAGTTAATAGGTTTGAACCTTTATACATGACTCTTAATAATTTTAAATTACCTTATTATTTTAAATTATAATTTTTTTAAAAAAATTATTCAAACCTTTTTATTTGTTATTAATTTTTAATACATAATATGTAATAAATTAGTTATTTTATAAAAAATTCAATCAAATAAATATTATACTAGCAGCCCGTGCACTACATGGGTGTTCGATAAAAAAATTGTTATGCAATATAAATATAAAAATAAAAAGAATTTGTTGCTAAATAAAAATTATGAATAATTCATAACACTACAAAAAAACTCTTACATTCCAACGAAAATTTTCCGTTGGAATTTTTTATATTTCCGTTGGAATAGCAATTCCAACGGATATTCCTACGTATAAAAATTCGTTGGAAAAACGGCCGTTGGAATAGCAAATATCCAACGGAAAATCCTATGGAAATAAATTCCTACAGCTATTCCAACGGAAAAAATCCGTTGGAATTCTTCAACTATCCAACACTTATTCCAACATAAAATTAAGTTTGTCGGAATATTCATTGGACAACGGAAATTTATGCCGTTGGAATTTTTCGTTGGAATTGTAGTGTTTTTTTTTGTAGTGTAATAAAGTAAAAGATTTTATAATATAAATTCAAATTCTAGAAAATATATGTTATGAAATTTTAAATTTTTAAGGTATATTCATTTTTGTTAATAATAAATAAAATAAATAATTTATTCGACAGTTAATATAACACCCATGAACTACACGAACAAGAAAAGTATTTGTATTAAAAGAAAGAATAAAGAAATTATATTATTCTAATATAATGATAAACTTAATGTCGTTGGAAAATAAAATATAATGATAAACAAATAAATATACAACAAATAATTTATTAACAAAGTTAATTATATAAAATGATACCCATATTTTACACACGATTTTGATTTTTTTTTTTTAATTGCATACACACACATTACACTACAAAAAAACACTACAATTCCAAAGAAAAATTCCAACGGCAAAAATTTTCGTTGGAAATTCCAATGAATATTTCACAAACTTAATTTTATGTTGGAATAAGTGTTGGATAGTTGAGGAATTCCAACGGATTTTTTCCGTTGGATAGCTGTAGGAATTTATTTCCATAGGATTTTCCGTTGGATATTTGCTAATCCAACGGCCATTTTTCCAATGGATTTTTATACGTAGGAATATCCGTTGGAATAGCTATTCCAACGGAAATATAAAAAATATCAATGGAAATTTTCCGTTGGAATGTAAGAGTTTCTTTTTGTAGTGTTACTGACAACTCAATAATTTAATTCTGAATTAATTTAATTTTTTTTCCAAGTATTATTATTATGTAATATATTTATATTATATTGTGTTCTTCCCCGATCTATTATTTTTTCAGATATTTTCAACTTTATACTATTTCAACAATTTTATGAAAGATTGTAAACATTCTTATTATTTTTAATTATTATATTTCTATGTTTTTTTTTTCTTCTTAGTCTTTATTTATGTTGAGACATAAACTTTTATTGTATTTTTTAATAATAAGTTTATGTTCATATATACTTCATACTAAGTTAATTTATATATCTTTTTATATACAATGTTATGTTAACTTAAATAAATTTTTATTACTTTGTGGAATAACTTATAATTTTATTTAAATTTTTTTATTTTGTTTGATTAATAAATTAAATTTTTATTTATAGGGCTAGATATCAATGTTTTGTTTATTATATTGCAATCTTTATGTCGAATCGAAAATTGTTAAAAAATAATTAATTTAATAAATTATATATGAAAAAACTATCGTATATGATAGAAAAAAGACATATTAATAATAAATGATGTATGAATTAAATAATAAAAGTATATATAAGATGTAGTAAAATAACAAAAAGAAACTTAAAATGTTTTATGTTAACTAAGTGTAAAAAAGGGAATTATATTTAATGTGAATAATATAGACATTTAATGCAATTGAAAGAAAAATATTTTTTTTACAAAAAGTATTAATTTATATTAAATTTGGCTCTGAAACATGAAATTTTGCTACATAGAATTTTGAAAACGTGTGTGTCTGCTTTTAGGCTCAATTCATCAGAAATTCTATGGCACCACATGTGGCACCATATTATGGTGCTACAACATGATGTGGCACATTATGATTGGTGCCACAAGATGATGTGTGATAGTTGTGGCATCAATTATAATGTGCCACATCATGTTGTGGCACTATAATATGGTGTCACATGTGGTGCTATAGAATTTCTGCTCAATTCATGAATTGCATACAAGGATATACAAAATAAATAAATATTATACATATCTTTGTACGTAGATGATTCTTAAAGGTGAAGGATGTTAGTTTAAATAAATATATATACATATATATTTTTTTAAAAAAAAAAATACTAAAATTAAAATTAATACTTATATTTTATGTTAACATTTTTAAATATATATTTTTTAATTCACATTACACAATTACACATGTAATGTATTACTAGCAATACTAATATACTATATTATAAATAAAAGTTCGTATAATATATGAGCATTTTGATTCAATCTTTATTGCCGAGTGAAGAGTCAAAAGACGCGTTTGCATGCATTGGAAAGGATTCTGGCGTGTTTGCTTTAAATATTAGATTGAGTGCAAAACAGCATTCGAACGAAATTGGTGAATCGAACAGTCAATCGACGCGTTTACCTACTAAATTTCTGTTCGGCGGCTCCTCGACAACCTACTGCCGGGGAAAAATCGCTCCCAACAAATTTCCAGAAAATCATTTTCGTTCAATTGAAGGGATTCGTCAAATCGAAAAAGATCGCCAAGGTCAAAAGCTTGTACAAGATTCTGGCCTCCATGAAACCTCGATTCTTCTAAAGAAAATCGGCTGGCGATCTGAAAATCGGCCGTAGAGAAGGCGAAAAAGAAAAAGACGAAGAGGCTGAGCGAGGTCAAAACGCTCGAGACTGTGAAGAAGATGAAAGTCTTTTTTGTACTTATGTCGTCTGTACATAATTAAGTCAGATTGTGTATGTTGCATGTATTAAATAAAAAAAAAATATACTATACGTATACAGAAAAAACACGAGATGTATAAATAACACAAAAAGTAAACAAAAAAGGATTACGAAAATATGAAATTTCCAGGTTTATTTCATACTAGTACAACGCCCCTGTATTACACGGATGCTTGTTAATTTTTTTCTTAAAATCTAAAATTAATGAAAAAAAGTAGTTGAAAGTTTAAATACCTTTTATAAGAATATATATATTATTATATAATTAGTATGACACTTTTTATTTGTGCGGCTTACATATGTTGAAGTATAATATTTTTTAACTTACAACATATAACTACATTAAACATAAATATATCACTTGAGAAATAATTTTATTTTTCTAATGAATTTTAATAAATATTATTATTTTTTTATTATTATAAAGATAAATATAATTTATTTATTTCATATATACAATATGGATGTCAAATCGAAGATCATTAAAAGATGATTAATTTGATATACTATATATGTAAAACCGATAAAAAATACAAAAGTTATCAACTTTTGAAATACATTTACAATTCAATAGTTAACTAAAGGAAACAAATCAAAAGTCAGGGATATAATAGTCACTTAGTGCCTCACTACGTGAAATTACAAAGAATTAAAAGGGTTATATTAGTACAAGTGATATTAAAATACCTAAGTTAGCTAAATAATATTTATGGAATGACCGAACCTAGATTATTAATTATTAATATATCAATATTATTTGTCCAAACTTAATTACGAAGCATGATTTTTCGCCAAGTACCAGGTTTATTTCATATATATTTTCGGACTTATATATTTTCTGTATTTTTTTCAATGGACGTTTATAGCAGCCAGATGAATGAATTTTGTGATCGTGTATGTTATGTATATTTCATATCCCTTTCCATTTTATATGAACAGCTTCCTAAATAGTAGGAAATATAGACTTTTCTTCTTCTTTTTTTTTTTCAGTTCAATAATCTAACGGTGTGATTATAGGGAAGTTGCTACTTTGGTAACCAATGTTTTTTATTCATCCATAATAAATGCATTTTTTAGGTATTTATGCAAATAAAACCCCTCTCTTTGTAGGAATTCAACAATATCTTTAATATCTTGTAGTTAGTTTAAAATTTCGCCAAAAAGAAAATCGAAAAACGGTTTAAGTGGCTAGACATTCAATTTGAATCAATAAGTTAAACACTCAAATGAACTTGTTTCTCCAAAATAAAATTAGGATGGTAACTGAATTAATATTTTTTTTTTTTTTTGAAGAAAAATGTCTTGAAATAGTGAGATGAAAAAGTACAATAAAAAGTGAGATAAATATGAGGTTATATGAGATAAAAATATAATCATTAAAACTGATGTGATATAAAAATAATAAAATATTAAACAGTAAGAATTTAAATTTAAAATATGTGAGTGTGTGAATAATAATTTTTATGAAAAATATATAATAATGATTATTTTTTTATTATTATAATGAGATTCAAGATAAAAGGTGAGATTAAAAAATACTATTTTTTGTGATTTCTTTTTATTCAATTTTCAGGTTTAATGGGACAAATATCTTGAATTTTTTACCATAAAATTATAAAAAAAGTTAAGTTGTGGAAAAAAAAATACACAAACAAATGAGAGTGGACCATAATAAAAAGCCCGTATTCAATGAATACGTTTTACCATTTTTTTAATTGTAAAACGTATTCATTGAATATGTTTTCTTTTGAAAAAAATTCTGAAAAAACGTATTTAAGGAATACGTTTTCTATACAAATATAGAAAACGTATTCCTTAAATACGTCCTTTTCATTTTTGTCCACTCATTTTTTTTCTTTTTTATTTTGTCCACATGTTTTTTTATATTTTTTTATTGGTAAATTGCTTCAAATATCTTGGTTAAACTAATAAAAATATCTTCTTTTTTTTTAAATCCAATCGCATTTAAAGCACATTTTGTCGAGTAAATAATATCGGTGGAGCCGTGATTTAAAATCCTTTAGGCTAGAACTAGTCTTACACTCATTTATACTTTTCCTTAGGTTTGTCGTTGCGTTCTTCACATAGTTTAAAACTCGACCCCGGCAAGTCATCGGTTCAACCATCAAGTCACCGAATAAATTGTTGAACCAGATAATTAACTTTAAAATTTTTAATATTATGTAAAGTATTTTGTCATATAAATATAGGGACCGAGTGAGTCGGATTGTCCCGACCTAGTCAATGCTCCAGATCGAACGAGTGAATGCCTGGTTGGCCGGGTTTTGACCGAGTTTGACTGGATTCATTTTTACTCCCCCCAAAGGAAACTTGGGCTTTTATTACTTGGACCGTATTCGCGATTTATTTACATATTCGAACAAATAGAAAGTTGAGAGTCTGATTAGCCCACTCGGACCAATTCCAGCTCCAGGTTGAAAAACTATGGTTTTTTCAATCTAATTCCTTTTTTTCCTTTTATTCTTCTATTTAATGTCATATTTTAGATTTTTTCTATTTAATATTAAGTATAATTATTATAATTTTTTCTTGCCAAAACTGTTAGTTTAAACAACACAATGGTTCAACTTTCAAAGACTTTTGCAAGGTTTATGTACAGAATTCGAATGTGATTAAACATCCTGATCACATTTGAAATATATTTACACCCTTATTACTATCTCTCTACAGAATACACTGTACACGAAATATTAAATCACATTCTAAATTATATTTGAAATGCCACCCACTAACATACACAACTAACGAAGACGGTCAGATATCTGCATATGAGAAGCACAAAAGTTGGTTGGCAATCAGAAATCATCCTGAAATCCTATTTTCCTGGCACCTTTTACGCCTTTGAAGTAGTTGGCACGAATCTTAGACGAGCCAGGTAATTGCTCTCGGCAAAATCATGTAATGTCCGAAACGATCGTGCTCCTCCCTCCAGCTCATTTATACCGGACTCGTCCTTCAGAAGCCTTCGACATTCATTGCCATCCTACACCGAGTGCGCAACTTTACTTGATACAAATTTATCAAAACAAAAGTATGCAGTGACATGGGACCCAAAAATCAATCCTCGAAAGGCAAAAATGCATTCAGTGCAATATCAGTGTCGCTTTACCTGTAAAAATTTCATCATCTGCTCTTCAATCGTGCCACTCATTGCTAAAGTTTCCACATGAATAGGACGCGAAGCACCCATTCGATGAGCACGACTAATAACCTGCTCCTCCATGCTATATTTTAAGCGAACAATAACTCCAGTCAATAAAAATAAAAGGTGTGTGAAGAATGTCCCAACGTAGTTAAACTTAATAATCAAGAAGCCATCGGCCAATCAAGCATATCACTGAATTACGAATGAAGCAAGGAGATACAGTTATTTTACTAGAAGAGCAACTTCAACCAGAGTTGACGGTGATTTTAAGTAAATCTGTTGGAAGTTTTAGTTCTACAAGTGAAGACACGAAAATGTCATCTTACCTTTTATCCCATATAGGTTCCATCAGATAGACATGAGTCACAAAGCTCAAATCAAGGCCTAGAGCTGCACTTCCATCCATCAACAGAACCATACAATTTGCGTCATGCTGGAAAGTTGTTAATGATTTCATCTGAATCCCACAAAGAGCCAATTAGTAACTAGCACTCACGGAATAACATACAAAAGAAAAGTCAACGAGCACATACTACATACCTTAACGTTAGTGAGCATTGGACTGTACATCCCAACAAACTGAATTCCTGCAATGCTTAACTGGGATGATGTTAAAGATAACTGATTAGTTGAATTCTTTAATACTTAATAACCAGAAAAAACGTGTAAAAAATGAACACATTCATCGAAAAGACAAAATCATGAAAACCAATGATTATTTTTAGTTCAGAAGTTACCTGTTGTTCGATGATGTGTATATGCTCCAGAAACTGAGAAAAAACAATAACTTTCTCCGGAGGGATTGGGCTCCGTTCATCTCTTAACATAAGGCCAGCCTCCTGCTCTACTGGTATTCTACTGTCAGAGGATAAATTCAACACGCTCGACATAGCCTCACTATTGCCAATGGGGTATCCAATCGTCCTCATATTACTTTCTTGCAATTGCTTTAACTCCCCAACTAAATATGTAACTTTGCTGCTAGATGTTGACTGCCAATCAGGATTCCAGTCATCCTGCATCACACGGAGGCCTCTTTAGAAAACAATTCAACAACAAGATTAAGGACATAAACAGGGATATGAAAGAAAATGGTCAGGCTAGGCTAGCCACCACTGGTACTGCTACTCTTCTTAGATTACCAAACAAAGTGAAAGTTCTTTAGACACATCCGAAAAATCTGTCCGGTACAGTTCAATAACAATTAAAATTATTTTGCATTTTCTTGGAATAAACATTGTTATTTATTGCAGAAGGCAGAAAATAGTGGCAGGCTGAAATTCACCCATTGTGGTTTTCACTGCACCTGCCATGGCAGACTGTAGCCCTGCCATAACCCGATTTTTCACAAATTTCTAGGATGATTAGGCATTATCAGCCATAATAATATCGTAGGTTAAAATTAAATAATAACAGAACGTGTAAATAATATTTTCAATTGAACTAGGTTGACAAATTCTACTCGCAAATTTAATAAAATAATATTGTTCATACCTCAGCCGTATGGACAAAAAGAATAAAAAATGAACCAACTTAAATGTACCCTACCTGTTTATATGAAGGTTGTAGCTCAATGAGATCCTTTGGCACTGGCCACTTGGGACTAGGATTCTCTGGACGTGCCAACACTTGTGGACTCTGCATTTCATATGTGCTACCACAACCAGGAAATGGACACCTTTCACTGTCTAAAGCAACACAAACAAGGCATAAAAGGTGCCTGCAAGGTGTAATCACGGGTAAACGGCACCATTCACTGCACCTGACAATATGAATACAAGCAAAATCATTATGGTTACTATGCTAAATGAATTTAAGAAGGCTGCACGGCAGAAGGCGTAAAATATAAAAGGCCATTACCTCATGCAATTGCCACCATATGAGAGATTGTACTTTATTAAAGCATATTCCTGTGACATAGGATCCAGACCCTTTTTTACTAGTATATCCATAGTTTCTTGAATATCTTGGCCAGCATCCACTACTCTGACATGTCCAGCCACGCAGCAGGACAACCTTACATTTTTTATTGTTGTAGCCCGAAATTTCCACTGTTTTGGGTTCAATAAACTCTCAACATGAGATGGATCATTCCAGTCCGCCATTAAAATATTACGCCGAACTGTTTCTACCAACTCATTATAACTTTTTGCGTGTTGTTCGGAGAAATCCACAAAAGTTACTCTTTTTATGCAAGGTGGGATTGCCTTTAGATCTTTCTTCCTTGCACTAATCATGCACCTGTGATAGAGCGAAGGATTAAAATAAATACTATCTATGCAGAAAATGAAGAACAGAACATGAGGTTATAATGAACCCTATGGGCTTAAATTCCACTAATTTATATTAGATACAAAAA